TGATATTCCCTAGTATTTTAATTGCCACCTGCTTGAACACTGTGTCTGCCTCTCAGTTGTTCTAAGCACAAATGAGTAGGAAAAGGTAATGTTTTTTATTAGCTTCCTGAAGCATTAATATTTACTTAGAAATTTTTGTCTCTATTATAAACAAATTCACTCCTTTCAGTGCCAAATATCATCAGAAGATGAGTTTCTCCTCTCCTTACTAATCTGTGAACTACCATTCAATTCACACCCAATTCATACCTTTTCCTTTCCCCCTATGTACTCTTGTTTAAAGAAAAATAAATAGTTGATAATGATAGAAACCCATTCTTGCACTTATTATGCAAGTTACAATGCTAAATACTTTACATAAGTTTTCTTATTTAAACCTCACAGCATTCCTATGAAATAAATATAAATACCTCTGTTTTACAGAGGTTCTTAAAGCCTAAACAACTTGCCTGGTCACATAGTGGTGCAGTTGACATTTCAACCCAGATCTAAATGGTTCCACAGTAAAACTATATTATACTTTCTTCCTAGTAGAAGGTTTTCTGTATATTCTCTCCAAATCACTCAACTTTTAGTCACTCAGCCACCTGGAAATTCACAGACATTTGAGTACCTTTTCAGATAACTCTCAAAGTATGTATTTATTAGCTCCATAAACATTTTTTGACCATTTGATATATCCTAGATGCTAAAAATAAAAACGTGAATAAATTTGGTTTCTGCTTTGAAGGATCAGGGAGTGAGTGTATTGATTGGGTGGGAACATTTGGAGAAGCAAAATAAGTACAGATCCACAATCCCTTACCCACCATTAAACCTCAGAACCTCTGAAAACTGAAAATTATTTTAAAATTGTGGCAATTTGGTGCCAACACCTTACCTGAATTGGCATTAAGTTACTTATGGCCTTCAATAATCCCACCTGATGTGACTAATTCATACATTTCATTACAGATATATTAATGTGTTTGGTTGCTGAATGTTATCCTAGGTAATGTGTACCATATTACTTTTGTAATATCCAAAAGAAAATAATAAAAAATTTTGAAACACATCATGTCCTGAGAGTTTGGGGTAAAGGATTATAGACCAATTATTACAGTAGCCGTGTTACAGTGGTGGGTGTGCATTAAAAGCCCTTAAGAATAGAAGAGGCAGAGAGAGCTTCAGGGAAGAGCTACTATTGCGTCTGATTACTGAAGGATGAGTACAAATTTGCCAGAGAGCCAAATGGGAGGAGAAAATGCATTAAAGCTACATGAGACAGCCTGAACAAAATCATGAGAGAATAATGTGTGGTCAGGGGATGGAGTAATAGGTAGGAGAGTGGCTGGAGAATGAAGTTGGATCAATAGCTAGAGGTCAAATCACAGAGATGCTGTGGAATGCCTTGCAAATTTTGGGTTTGCCCCAGATGGCTAAGGGGTGGCCTGGAGGGATGTTAGGCTAAGAGAGGGACAGTGAGCATACATCTCAGTTGCCAGGACATGATTTGGTTTCTTCCTGCTACCCTGGCATTATTGATAACGCAACCTTTTGCTTTCAAAAGTGACTTGGTTTGGATGGAATATTTTATGGTCCACTAAATGATACAACCAGATGTTGATTTTAAAAAGAAATTGTCGGCAGTGGGAAAATGGAACTAGGGTCAAAGATTTCCACAGGGCTTTTTCCTAAGATCAGAACAACCTTATGCATGCAAAAGCTCATCACTTAGAAGCAGTGGCATAAAAGAATTTCAGAAAATCTTTGTGGATAGAGTATAAAAAGTTCTCTAATGCCTGACCCGCATTGTTACAAAGGGAGGTGTTTTCAGTTATGAACTGAAAATTACTCCCATCCTTTCCTCACCTCACTTTGTCCTGCAGTTTCCTTGTATCTTGGTTTTAGGGCCCAGCTGGGTAGAAGTCAGCCTGTTGAAGAAGTTAATTGAGTTAAAATATCCAGAAGAATATAGTGTAAATGGAGCTGAAAATGCATGAAGATTATGAAGCCATAATTGTAGTATTTATTTCTCCATTTTAAAACCATAGTTACTAATCAGGACACACATTAATTTTATCCTTTTTTCTTTTCCTCAAGTTATGGTGCTTATGAACAATAAAAAAAGTAAAGCACAAACTATAAAATATGGTCACAATTCCTCACCAATGGAATATTAATGAGAAATATATTCGATGGTTGCTTTAGTAAGCAACTGGAATAAGAAGGAAAATATTAATGTCTATGTATCAAAGCATGTCAAAATTAATTTTTATTCTTATAATTAATTAGCAATAAATACTTGGAATTATTTCAGTTTATGAATGAATTTCCATTAGCTACAAATTTGGAGTTTAAACACAATCATTTTAGCTTACTAATCAGGGAAATGTAAATTAAAACAAGGTATCATTTCCCCAAGAAACCAGTGAAAATTAAAGTACAACAATATTTCTCTGAGATTGCAGGAACTGGTAAACTCATATGATGTTATTGTTACAGCCACTCTGGGATTCATTTTGAAAATATCTAGTAAAACTAAATATGTGCATAACCTATGACTCTGCAATTCTATTTCTAGATATTTACCTTAGAGAAGCATTCACAAATATGCACAAGGAGAAGGGTGCAAGGATGCCCATTGTAGCTATGTTGTAATAGCAGAACATTGGGGATAATCTAAATATCCATCATGATGAAGTATTGTGGAATTCTACATGACATGAAGTGTTGTTGAATACAAAAATAAGGCAAATTGAAGAAAGAAATATACTGTAAGCCATTTATATAAAAAAGTACATTATTTTGTATTATTTATTGTATTATAAACAATTCTACATTTTTATGATATTTTAAGAGATATTTTTGTTTATTAGTGCTTGACCTGGACAGATACATACCAACCTGGGATTACTGGTTGCTTCTGGGGAGGGATGGGACCACCTACAGTGGGGGTTAAAGGAAATTAGATTTATTCTGTATGAGTTTGCTAGGTCTGCCCTAACAAAGCAACTGGGGGGCTCAAACCACAGAAACTTATTTCCTCACAGTTGTGGAAGCTAGAAGACTGAGATCAGGGTGTCATGAAGGTTGGTTTCTTCTGAGACCACCCCCCTTTGGCTTATAGATGGCCGCCTTCTCCCTGTGTCTTTACATGGTTTTCCCTCTGTGAGTGTCCTTGCCTAATCTCTTCTTATAAGGACGCCAGTCATACTGGACTAGGGCCCATCCCTGTGCCTCACTTGCCTTAATTACTAATTTAAAGGCCCTGTCTCCAAATACAGTCACATTCTGAGGCATGAAATTGGAAGTTAGGACTTCAAAATATGAATTTGGAAGGACAGACATAAATCAGCCTATAACGTGTTCCTAACATTTTTATTTAAAACAAACAAAAGACATTGGATGACATATTTGACATTGACAAACAAAATATTAAAAGAAAATTACAAGGTTATTTAAATCTAGAAAAATTTCCCTTCACAGGAAATCTATTTGCTTTTCAAAACTTAAAGAGTGCTATAACACCAGATTGCTAGCATTGGTTATCCTAGGAAGGTGAAAATGGAAGTGCATAAGGCATATTATTAGCTTTTTTTATAGACTTTCCTATTTAGAACAGTTTTAGATATACATAAAAATTGGGAAGATAGTACAGAGTTGTCATATACTCCACACCCAATTTCTTCTATTAGTAATGTTTTACATTAATATGGGACATTTGTTATAATTAATGAACCAGTATTGTTACATTGTTAACTAAAATCCATACTTCATTCAGATTTCCTTAGTTTTTACCTAATATCCTTTTTCTATTCTAGGATTCCATCTTGGGTACCACATTACATTTAGTTGTCATGTCTCCTTAGTCTCCTTTTGGCTGTGACAGTGTCTCAGACTTTCTTTTTTTTGATGACCTTGACAGTTTTGAAGAGTACTGGTCAGGTATTTTGTAGAATGCCCTTCTACTGGAATTTGTCTTATTTTGTCTCATGATTAGACTTGGATTACGGGTTTAGGGGAGGAAGACCACAGGGGTCAAGTGCCGTTTTCATCACATCATATCAAGGGTACATACCATCAACACGCTTCATCACTGTTGATGTTCCCCTTGAACACTGGGGTGAGGTTTCTCCACTGTAAAGTTACCCCCTTTATACCCCTTTCTGTACTGTACTCTTTGGAACAAAGTTACCATGCGCAGCACACATTTAAGGAGTGGGGAGCTGTGTTCCACCTCCTTGAGGGCAGAGAATCTGCACATTGTTTGGAATTTTTCTGGCTGGGAGATTTTTCCTTCTCTCCCATTTATTTATTTATTCAATCTTATTAACTATTTTACTATATTTTTAAATCATTTTACATTAATTATATATATATTAATTTAGTAATTATTTTGAAATAATATTTTAGAGATACTTAGATAACAAATCATTAACTAATTTTGGACTTTAGAAATTAGAGTCATGCAAGATTATCAGAAAAGACTTATGGAGTTTGAAACTATAGTTGATAGTGTACCCATTTTCTCAGTAAGATGTTACTCTCATTTAGACTATAGAAAGTGGCTTATACAAATATTTGACATTATTCCCTGTTTAGAGAACGAGAAGCTTGCATTTTTAGATCAAAGACGAAGCAAACAGAAGCCTTTCCTATATTTTCAGTTTCTGAGTTTCTTAAGCTTTATGACTTCATGGCACATTGCAAGTTGCCAACCTTAATTTTGGAAACTCTTGGACCCCTCGTAGTGTCCTTGGAAATGATATGCATATGTCATGCTTTTCCTTTATGCAACTGGAAACTTTTCCTGGAGTGGAATTTTTCAAATATCTCCTTTGAGAATTTCCAGTTGTAATTATTAATCTTCCTCCCTACAAAGATAACTTAAAAGTAATTTTTGAAACGCTAAATCAGGAAGCTATTAATAATAATCAAAATGTAAAATTATCTCACATTTCTGCTCTTTTACATACACTACAAGAATTAATATTTCTTTGCATTGTAATTTTTTCCAGATATTTCAGTCAGCTTGTTAGCAGTCGTTGTCAGCTTTTGTGGCCTGGCCTTGTTGGTTGTCTCACTTTTTGTCTTCTGGAAGTTGTGCTGGCCTTGCTGGAAGAGCAAACCCGTGACTCCCAACGTTAGTACCATTCCACAGAGCATGTCAAGTGCTCCTACTGAAGTTTTTGAGACTGAAGAGAAAAAGGAGGTTAAAGAAAATGCAAAGCCAGCACTGAAAGCTCTTGAGCCTGCGATAAAAATCAGCCACACTTCCCCTGATATCCCAGCAGAAGTCCAGAATGCTTTAAAAGAACATTTAATTAAACATGCACGTGTGCAAAGACAAACTACTGAGCCTACGTCTTCATCCCGGTAAGGAAAGATCAAATATATAAAGCTATTGATGTTTGCGTGGTGTGTGTGTGTGTTGTGTGATTTCATAAGGGAGAAAAACTGAGATGGGAAAGCAGAAAAGACAAACAGGAGAAATGGGAAAGATGTAGGAAAGAGATAACTGAATAAAGAGAGAATGAGTAGGACAGAGTAAATGGGGCAAAGAAAGAAATTGAGGACAAAGAAGCCAAATAGGAAGCAGTACCATGAAAGGGGCCTAGTGGGATTTGAGGTCTCAGGAAAATCATCTAACTACAGATTATTATATCGACTCTTTCCCTTGAAGTATCATTGGTTGATAGCTGCTACTTGCAGTCTTTCAATTTAGTTTAATTCAACCAATAAATATCAAGAAAACAACCATTTGCAATGCATCTCATGAAATCTTCTAGAAGTTCACAATCAAAACCAAGTAACAGAGACTAATCTTTAGTCTACAGTTGTTTAGCACCTACACCATAAATATGGAACTGCTGGAAAATGTCATTGCTTATTTGAACTCACATAAACCAAACTCTTCTACTGGGCAGAGTATGATAAGTTCCGCAAGGGCTTTGCTCAATATCATGAGCATACCAAGGAGTATACACGAAAGGAAGGAAGAGGGGAACCTCCTTAAGGAGATATATTTTACTAAGCCTGGAAAAGTCAGCAAAAGTTTGCTTGATTGAAAATAATTTGTTATTTGTATTTCAAATTGTGTTAACTGTAAAGGAAAGGCATTCCTGTGAAGAGTCATTTTTTTCTACTAAGTAGGGTCTTCAGTCATTAAAATGAATGACAACGTGACAATAGCAGTTTTCCTCTGGTTCCCAGAAGTGGCAACAAGTTTCACCCTAGGGCAGGGTAAAATCAGTGGTATTGGGAAGTAAGTGTTGTTTCCTGCTAACTAACTCACTTCCTCATCTTACCTTCCTGCCTCTCTAAATCAAAGGTAACTCCAAAAACTATGCATGGGTCATATTTGCTATTAGGACTAAAAGAATAGTCATATCTTTTATGAAATAAAAAAGGATTGTATCTATAAATAAATCCTCTTATTTCTGAAATAAATTCCAGAGAGATAAGTAAGAATAATTGTTACTTTGGGGATGAGGAACATGGGATAAGAGGATGGATGGAAGTATCTTTTCTGTGTCATACTTTGCTGTGCTATTTAAATTTTATAAGCCAGGTATGCCTCATATTTGGTTATTATTTTGACAAGTTTTCCTGAGCAGTGGCATTTGGGCTATTTAAAATTTTTTATGATTTTTATGTAATATGACTCAATATATGTTAATTTAAATTTATTTATTATGGATATTTAACTATAAAATAATTATCCCATGTGCCACTTTTTTTTATATCTATAGGAAAAAGTGTTTTAAAATTATTTCATGTAGTCACTGGATTATCACTGCAATCATTACAGCAAACTGTGGCCAATGTGATATTTAATAAAGCCTTAAGACACTCAGAGATTTCAGGGTAAAAATATTCCATTAATCTAGAAAACATTTTTAAAATATTAACAACAGCTATGAAAATATATCAGCTTGGCATTTGGAATTATTCAACTCTTTTATTTGATAAGTGCACCCTGCAAAAGGACATTCAATTAATGAAGACAAACTGAGATAAGCTATGAAAATAGCTTAACTTTCTCTGCCAGAATGTTTCCTTGAGGACTCAGAAAAATAAAATATTATCTGTTGAATGTAAAAAGGCTGCTTATCTAGCACAGGAGAATGAAAAAATGCATACTGAGAACACATGTGTGAAGACTTGGTTTTGGATGCAGAATTTGTTTCTAGAAATAATCTACAATAGGAATAAAGACACATCATTCTAGCCCTGGATTTCTCAGTATTTATGTAAAGTTGAATAAATCAGGAAAAACTTTTTCTCTCCACTTAAAAAACCTAAAAATAGCATTGAACTTCTCTCTCTCTTTTTTTTTCTTTTGGTGAGGAAGATTGGCCCTGAGCTAACATCTCTTGCCAAGCTGCCTCTTTTTGCTTGAGGAACATTGTCACTGAGCTAACATCTCTGCCAATCTTCCTATATTTTGTATGTGGGACACTGCCACAGCATAGCTTGACAAGTAGTGTGTAGGTCCGTGCCTGGGATCCAAACCCACCAATGCCGGGCTGCCAAAGCAGATTGTGGAACTTAACCACTACCCCACCAGGCTGGCCCCCATATTTCATGTTTTCTAACAGAAAAAGTGGAATACAAATTCGAAGTTTTGCTAGAAGTTGGCATCATTTCATCTCCTTCTTTGAATTTCCTTGTTTACATGAGTGGCTGGGGAAGGAAGAAAAAAAGTATTTCTTAACAGCTTGCAATTTAGCTTGCAGTTTAGTCACTATGCCAGGCACCTTCCTGCTAATTCTCTGCCAACCTGCATGAAGTAAGTATTATTAATTATCTCCATTACTTGTGAGTTAACTGAAGCCCAGAGAGATTAAAAAATTTGCCTAAAATCATGCAGCTGGCTAGAGTTAGAAGTGAAATTTATCCAGATTGATGGAACACATTTTAAGTATTAGAGAGAGCCAGGGGATATAGTTTTTGCAGTCACACATGTTGGTTACAAGTCTGCTGAGGGCAGGTAATTTAGAGGTTGCAGAATGGGGGCATCTTCCTGCTCGTTCTACTCAGTTAGAAATCTGGAATTATATTTGGTTCTTGTGAATGACTAGAGTCATGATTTTAATCTGTTTGGTCTTGGAATGAATTCCTTGAAAAAAACTTGATTATTCCTAGTTCTCAAAAACCCTCATCTACATTAATTACTTCATCATACTAGAAATTACCTTTATATGGAGAGGAAGATGAAATTGCTGAGTTTATTATGCGGTCCACTTGGGCACATAGATCCAGGGTACATTATTATAAATCCGATTATTCTGCTCAAATGCTGACTTTTCACTGAGATGTAGCAAAATCAAACCACACACACACACACCGAATTTAACTTTAATGCTTGGTATCCCCACCCTGTTAGGATAGCCCAGCTCTAGACTGCTGTTGGAACTCCCTTTTATTTGGCTCAGACAATAGATGACAAACCCCATACTCTTTCAAGTTTTATTTGTCTCTGTACTTAAATAACATCCTGATTGGTCCAGAAGTTAATATTTCTGGGAACTGCCACATTTCCTTAAGTTCTCATCTCCCTTTTCAACTACCTGGACATTTGGCCCCACCAGCCTGCCAAACAACCAAACAAGCCAGCAGACATCTTGTATTTCTTCATTACTAACATTCTTCTAGGATCTATCTTGATTGATTGTTCATTCATCCAATAGCCTTATTCAGTAGATATTTACTTATCAGTGTAGTCAGTGTGTTTAGTCTGCAAACTGTAGGCAGCTGGAAGAAAATTTACAACATAATGCAGAGATAAGACATGTAATACCAACTGCAATATAAGGAATTACAAGTGCAAACTGTGAGGGGGAGAATGCAGAATTCAGAGAAGAGAAAAATTATTTCCAGCTGAGGCTAAAGGAAACTAGGAATTCACATAAATGGCCACTGGGAGAAGATGTACATCCCAAATGGAAACATTTTATGTGAAAAGACATAGAACAGGAAATCTTGCTATGAATACAGCTGTAAGTTACCTTGATCAGAAAATAGAGTTCAGTGGAGGAATAATGGAAGCTACAGTCAGCTGGACTTAAAGTATGGAGAGGCCTTGAAATCATGGCCAAGATATTCAAGGTCTGTCCTGTCAAAAATGTTTGCAACAGAAGAGTCACTTGAATAAAGAGCTATGTTGTAAGAACGACAAATTAATTTGCAACAGTTATTTGGCAACAGTTTATAGGACAAGACTGTAGAAAGAGACATCTATTTTGAAACTAAGATAGTAGTTCAGGTATGATAAAAATCAGGAAGTAGGAGACAACAGCAAAAAGGCAGAAACCTGAGAAAAGCTATAAAAGAAGAATCTAAGATCCCTTATAAAAAAAACATTAGGTTACACTTCAGCCATTCCAAGTCTAGTCCAAAGCTCTTAAAAGCTGACATTCAAACTGTTACAGTCTCATATACCAAGCTACCATTAAAGCATTTGGGTCCATACCCTCCCCAACACACGCATATAGCTCTATGCTGCTAAAGAAAATCTGCCGAGGTCACTTCCGTATTGCTCTTGACACCTAGACAAAACACTATAGGAACTCAGAGTTTATTTATTGAATTAAAAAAATCAATAAGTAAATTTAATGACCTCATCTTATCTATCCGAATGGATATTTCATGGGTGCCCACTAGGCGAGTTCCTGGTCTTTTTATCCCCCTTCTGTTGACCTCAGCTCTCAGCCTCAATGCTTTTGCTCATGCTGTTTCCCTTGTGCAGAATAATGACCTCTTTTTTATCTACTAGAAGATATTTAAAGAAAATGCATATGACAGTCTACTTTCTCTGCCCAATTATAAGCTATTATCCTTTATTATTTAAAGACAAGATTACAGTCTAGCAATTAATTATGTATTGTCTTAATAGTGAGCTCGAGCTGTTTGGCAAACTAGATGCTAAGTTCTCAAGAACAAGGCCGTGTAACCTATTTTAGTAATTCCGTCACTCGTCATTTCCATCACTGTGTAGGTGCATAGTAAGCATCAAGTGAATACTTTTGATTGATTGATCATCTCCCCTCTTCACTTTGCTCTTTCAAAGACAGCATCAGGTGGAGAGATAAACTGTGCTCATATTAGAAAGAGGTTAATGATGGTATCCTCCCGGGGATGAGTATGAGGACCAATTTTCTGTGCATTCATTAGTGGTGTAAAAACGAGGTGAATCATAAGTGGCAAAGTAATTTATTGAGGATGAGGCATTGTATAGGCTGGCCACTTTTGGAGAGGATTCTAAGTACCTCCTAAAAAATAGTTAGGAAATCTAATGGCAGATCTAGTTGAACATGAGCAAAAGCAGGAAAATGTACATGCGAGGTAATCGTTGACTCATGTGTGCTGATGGA